TTCATACTTTATCATACTTTATCTTTATCACTTCATACTTAACACATTTCATCTTTATCACTTCATACTTTATCATACTTTATCTTTATCACTTCATACTTTTATGCATTTATCTTTATCACTTCATACTTTATCGCACTTTATCTTATCACTTCACTTTATACTTTATCTTTATCACTTCATACTTTATCACTTCATACTTTATCCTACTTTATCTTTATCACTTCTTGCTTACTTCATCAACCTACCATACGTTGAAACAACAGTGCGTAGGACAGGAATAATTCACAGGCATAGATAGGAGGAGGCATCAAGGGCCATTAAGCAGTCGTGCCGCCTTGTTCCGGAATTATAATGCCTTAAAATCGTGTTAATGCAGGTATGCCAAAGCTCTCTCTCCAAACGGGCCGGCCATAAGGTCCAAGCTGCTACAGACAGCTAAGGGAAATTGATCCTTAGGAGCCGGCGGAAGGAGAACTTGCTGAGCCGGACTCTCGAATATCAAGGATTATTCATACATATTCTGCGCTGTCGGATATGAGCATTAATGGGTGTATACACTCTCTTCCTCTGCTCCTCTCTCCTCCACTCCCCTCTCCTCTCCTCTACTCTACTCTTCTCTCCTCTACTTCCTTCTCCTCTCCTCTCCTCTCTTCTCCTCTACTCCCTTCTCCCATCCTCTCCTCTCCTCTCCTCTCTTCTCCTCTACTCCCCTCTCCCATCCTCTACTCCCCTCTCTTCTCCTCTCCTTTCCTCTGCTCCCCTCTCCTCTCCTCTGCTCCCCTCTCCTCTACTCCCCTCTCTTCTCCTCTCCTCTACTCCCCTCTATTCTCCTTTCCTCTTCTCTCCTCTCCTCTCCTCTACTCCCCCTCTCATCTCCTTCTACTCCCCTCTCCCATCCTCTACTCCCCCCTCCTTTCTCTACTCCTCTCTCCTCTCCTCTCCTCCTTCCCTCACCTCTCTCTCCTCTACTCCCCTCTCCTCTCCTCTACTCCCCTCTCCCATCCTCTACTCCCCTCTCCTTTCCTCTACTCCTCTCTCCTCTCCTCTCCTCTACTCCTCTCTCCTCTCCTCTCCTCTACTCACTCTCCTTTCTTCTTCCTCTACTCCCCTCTCCTCTCCTCTCCTCTTCTCTACTCTCCTCTACTCCCCTCTCCTCTCCTCTGTATTCCAGTCTCCTCTCCTCCCCTCTCCTCCTCTTTCCTCTCCCCCGTCCTCCCCTCCTCTTTCCCTCTTTCTACCTCCAGTCCTCCACTCTCCTATCTTTTTATCCACGTCTTCCTCCCCGACCTCGTCCTTTTCCTCTTCCATTTTCTTACCTCCTCCCCTCCTCTCTTCCTCTTTCTACCTCCAGTCCTCCACTCTCCTCCTACTTTTTTAATCCTCGTCTTCCTCCCCGACATCTTCCATTTTCTTCCCTCCTCCCCTCCTCTCTTCCACTTCTCTATTCACCCTTTTCCCTGCCCTCCTCCACATCTCCATCCCTCCCCAGATATCCTCCCCCCCTCCTCCCTACCCACTCCTCCTCAGCTTTTCCTCCTCCTCCCTCCCTCCCTCCCTCCCTCCTCCCTCTTCTCCTTATACCTCACCCTCCCTATTCCTCTCCCTTACCCGGTCCTCACCAGTTACCGGAGCTCCAAGTTAAGTTCGCAAATGCAGGCTTAATACACCGTAGGGGAATCTGCTGTCTCTATATGCGGTGTGTACATAACTACGTTTTCAGGTTCTTTAAGTGGCCTGTCTATTGTCTCTCATTAATCGTCTGACACACGGGAATGGGATTTTGAAGTGTGTGAGTTGGGTTCAAGATTTTTTTTTTTTTTCTTTTGCGTAGCTCTGTTAATTCATACGATAGGGGTTCATGTAGTAGAATAACAAATTCGATTAAAGAGATATTGGATGAAAGTGAACGGTTGTATGTATATGTATAATATAATATATATATATATATATAATTATATATATATATATATATATTATATTATATAATATATATTATTATATATTATGTATATATATGTATATTATATATATATATGATATATATATAATATATATATATATATATCATATATATATTATAATATAATATATATATATATATATATATATTACATATATATACATACATATAAAACTTGGTACTTATTTCTCAGAAAAAGGAGTAAAATTGGTTAAGAGAAAATAGCGAAGGCTTGTGATATTAATGTTTCTTTTATTCTCTCCTCCCTAGTTATCTCTTTCCCTTTTCTCTCCTCTTCTTGGTCTAATTCTATGTTCATTTACCTCTTCTCCCTTGCACTTCTCTCTCTCTTTTTTCTATCTATCTCTCTTTTTCTCTTTTCTGTCTGTTGTTTTGTCTCTGTCTCTCTCTCTATGTCAATCTAAGTCTCTCTCTCTCCTCTCTCCTCTCTCTCTCTCTCTCTCTCTCTCTCTCTCTTCTCTCTCTCTCTCTTCTTCTCTCTCTCTCTCTCTCCTCTCTCTCTCTCTCTCTGCGTTA